ATTACCAAATTCATCATATAATGGGAAACGTTCACCAATTGTACTTTCAATTGTGGATGAAGCACTTGAAGCTAAATTACCCAATTGATAAGAAACACCAGTAACAAAAGCTTTAAATTCTGGTGGTGATAATTCAGAAAGATGAATTGGAACAATTGCCCAATTACCTTGAACGAAAAATTGTAACCAAAATGCACCAGCATTAATACCTGAACCTTTAACAAAAGCCCATGGATAAATCATTGCCCCACCACAAATACAACCAATAACAACAATAAAACGACGACCAATAAAACCTGAAAAATGACCCATAATAACACCACCTGCAATTGCACCTAGATTTGCAACTGAATTTGTCACAGTGGAACGATCTTTACCATAACCTAATTGATTAGTTAATAAAGTTGGATATAAATCTTGAGAACCATGAGATGAAAAATTAAAAGCAGACATTAAAATAACTAAATAAATGAATTTTAACCAATTTTGTTTCAAAGCATGACCAGCATCTTTGTAAAATTGAGATTTTTTATTCTCTCTAAGGTGAATTTTTTGTTGTAAAAATTCATCAGTTTCTGGTAGACATAATCTCCAAATAACAAACAAGATTGGAGGTCCTGAACTGAACCAAAATAATGATCTCCATTCTTTTTTAGTAGTATCTGTAATTGCTCTATTGAAAACAACAACTAATAAATAACCTAATGCATAACCTTGTTGGAAAATTCCTGATAAAACTGATCTAGCTCTAACTGGGGCACCTTCTAATGAAGTAGCTGATGCAATACCGAAAACTGCACCCATGAAAAGACCAAAACCTGAAAAGTTAGTAAAGTTTCCCCTAATAGTTTTATAATAAATACTCACAAGCACGAACACCCAAGAATTGTTCATAAGTCTTAACAAACCCACAACCAATTTGGAAAATTGATAAACATAAAAGATTAATACAATAAGGATATTTTCTACCATATCTATCACCCAATATACCAAATATAACAGCCCCAACAGATCTCAACATTAAAACTAACGTGATTCCCCATGTCACATCTTTAACTGATTTATTCAAATCTTTGGCAATAGCATTAACATTCAAACTAACAGCAAAGAAATCAAACGCGTCCCAAGTCCATGCTAAGAACCCAACAAGGAAGAATTGCCATTGTCTCCATGACATTGAACGTGATGCTGGGAATGGATTAAGAGCTTCCCTTTCACGATGAAGTTCTTCCCTCGAGGGGATAAGAGTGGTGAAACGAGTGATGAAGTATTTCTTTATGGATTGTGGTGATAAGTCAGCCATGGTGTGTTGTATAATTCATTCATATACATTGTTGAAGAAATACCTCTGGAGATTGGCTCTTTATATATGGGTTTTTTCATCATCATAGTTTATGTTGGGCTTCTCTCCATTTCTCCACAATTTGAGTCCATGAGCTATTGATTATGATTTCCATTTGGTGCTTCATAGGCTACGACTGCTTTTTCCATCAGTCACAAGTTGGACGGCTTTAGCATGGGACTAGAGAGGCTAGACTGGTGATCATTAGCATTTGTGGAGTACAAAACACAGATGAGTGCTTTGCACAGAAGAGGGAGGATGTAGGGTGTGCTAAGTGTCGTATTAAATTGTAATCATAATTTTAACCACGATTACGTTACTTTATTGTCACGGAGATTTCAGCCGGAAGTGTACAGGTTTTGCCCAGAGTAAAATAAGCTATTTGGGATTTTAACAAGAGAATTAATAATTATGGCAGGTAGTTATAGAAAGCTCAATAAAGGAATAATAAGAGTAGATAGTGTTTTGTCATACATTGTGCTAGTATGTAGTGTACTATTGGTTTTAGTCTAGTTCAACGTTGCTAGTGAAGGACCCCCAATGCTGCTGCTTTGGGCAATCTCAAGAGCAAGACTGAAGTCAATTTTGGAAAAAGTACCCTGGGACTGCTTTAACATCTCAGACATGATACTTGAAGATAGAACCCGACTTTTGACGATATCAACTAGCTAAACAAGTGTAGAACGGACTCCAGTCTCCACGTCGTCCATGAACCAAGAGAACTCAAAGCATCAACTATTCTTTGATCATCAAGATAATGTCACTTTACGGAACTTGAAAGGCAGACCCATTCATTAGTTTTTGAAAAGGCCTTGTCATTTGAAGTGCTTAATCGGTTGGCAGCTGTAGAAATTCTGTAAGGTGAGTTTGATTGGTGTCAAAGACTTTTGGAATAAATCAAATAGCCTGGTGCTTTGGGTTAATATTAAGATGAGTCCTGATCGAAAGGTTTATTACAGCTTCACAGATTCGTTTCAAAGGATTTGTAGTTTTGCAGTACCATAAAACTGAGCTCTTCTCAACAAACAAAGATACTTACAGATCCAAAGTGTCATCTTTCAATATCCAAACTTCTCTGGGCTTTCTCACTGCTTCTAAGTTGTGGTGTTCGAAGTTTGAAGTTTGTGTTGATCTTCATCAAAATGAAATCCAGACCCCGATGCAGGACTTGCGCCGCCAAAGTCTTGAGTCTAGAAAGTCTAGTGATCTGACCTAGGCCTCTCTTCTTCATCAAACAAAACTTTCAAGTTGCAACCTTTGTTGTTGATCTTGAAGAAGCAACAACTCCAAGCCTTTTAATCCTACTATTCCCTGAGCTATATGGTTGAACTCGGGGGTTTCAAAGTTTCGATCTGTCAAGAAACAAGGGTTCAGAGGTTCAGTTCATTTTCGGTTTGATTTGGTCAAAATTAGTGTTCCGAAGCGAAAATTGTAAAGCCGAGCAGAAGCTACTTCTAATAGTGCTATTGATATTGGTTATGCTTTTAAACCTTTATTAAAACATATTACACAGCTGATAGTGTTTTTTGGTGATTTTATATAGAAGTTCATGCTTTATAGTGGATAAAAGTAGTGTCCTAAACCAAAGCTTCAATAAATAAGGGGGCACCCGCCATTCGTTTCGGAGCTCAAGTCTGCAACCCCCGAGAATCCGAACCAATAATCTAATTGTGAGATCGCCATTTTCTACAAACTACTGGTTTCTGAACTGTGAATCAGAGCTTCGAAGGGTCAATATGAATCCTCAATTTGGAATCATCTCTTCATTATTGTCTTGTACCAAATTTGTACTTTATACATTCTGTTTTGTCCAATTCTTTAAAGAAATTCTCTTGTGCCTTTATCACCATCACCATATAATCCATCTTTTCATAAAAGATACTTGTTCAAGTTATTTATATCTTGAAAGATCTAAAAAGACTGTTCCTGATCTTTGAGTACTTGATGATTTGAAATATGGGTAATATCTAGCTCAAAAACTGCTCATCATAAATCACTAATGTTTTCCAATATCGCAGGAAATTCTCTGTGTGCCATTATTAGTCTCGCCATATCATCAGATCTCTTATAATTCTGAAGACTAGTGTCTGGTAAAAATAAATCAAACATATTAGCATCCAATTCCCCTTTAGTCTTTATGATAAAATCACCTCTCCCCCTAAACTCGTCTGCTGTATTAACCCCTGAAACTCTGGAGTTCACAACATGGCATTCAATAAGATTTTCAAAACTTTCAACATCAAACCTCTCAAAGGAACAATTTTGCACATTGAGATACTCCAATTGATCACTTTCAGGTATTTTGTAAAGCGATGAATCCCTAATGTATAGTGCTTTTAGTTCTTTATAATCTGATAAATCAACACGATCCCTCTCAAAACCTTGTACACTTAAAAATCTCAAATGTGGTGCATTAATTTCCAACTTGCAAAGCTTCAAGTCTGACATGAAGTGATAGACCGATAACGTTTTCAACTTTGGGAAATGACAATTTTCAAAACTAACATCAATCGACTTCAGATCAAACGGATTTTTAGTATTGAAATGAATTATAAATGTTTCCAATTCTGGTAACTTTTGATTACAAAATTTCCATTTCAAATCTGCAGGAGTCATGCTAAAACCTGGACAAAAAAAATCACCCACATATCTGAAAACTTTTAGCTTGGGGAAAAGAGTTGTGATATCTTGAAAAATATCATAATCAATTGAACAATTGCGTAATGACAAAACTTCTAGGTTTGGAGCTTCCAACTGTAATTTCTCGTTTTCTGCAAATATAACATCTGTTAAACAAAGAGTTTTCAAATTTGGAGCTTTGATGAATGATAACCCATCATGATCATATCGACCCTTTTCAGCAAGATGCAAGTATTCTAAATTTTGAAGGTTTGATGTATCAATGTAAGGGATACTCCTAGTTAACATTGTCAATTGCGAAACATTACCAAACAAATTTCCATCAATCTTTTGATTAAAATTTAGATCATCATCATCGTCATTATCAAAGAGTATTGCGATTTCCATGACTTTCAAGTTTGGTGCCCATATTTTTTTACAACTATCAATAGCTGATCCACTAAATTCAAACCTTTCCAGTCTACCAAATTGACAATCTTCAATCCGTACTGTTTCTTCGAGTGAACGAACACTCAACAAGCCTAACTTTGGGGCCTTTATGTTCGAAATTTGCACAGTTCCAAGATCATTAATAATTATTAAACGCTCTAAAGAAGGAAACTCAAGTCCTAACATTTTTTTGAATCCTGCACAGCTCAAAATTTCCAAAGTTTTCACATTTTTAAAAGGTTCGAAATAACAATCATTTTGCAACATTTGTGCATCGAAAAAACAATCTTTAAATTTAGTAGTCATGGGGAAAGTTAACAGCTCAGGACATTCAAGTATAGAGGTTTCAATGAGTTCCATTTTTTCCAAATTAGGAGTCACTATTGGACGACCAACTTTAGGTAAAAAATGAGCACTGGAAATTTTCAAGTATTTAACCTCTGGAGCGAAAAATGATTGTATTGGCAAATTCCAAAGATGTATTTTAGAACCTCTAATTTCAATTGGATGAATCATATCATCTGTTGATTGTGATAAATTTTTCATCAATACCATAATCAGAAAATCATGAACAGTAACATTACCTAAACCCAAAATTGAAATATTGTATGGAGGTTGTTCAGTTAGATATTCACAAACTTTGATTGAGAACAAACTAGATATACCCTTATGCCTCAATGCCACTATCAACAAGTGAGGTTTTGGTCTACCACTTTGACGTAATTCATTTAGATCCTTGTGGAAATATGTGATTGATTGGGGTGTGTCCAAATTCTTTTCAGTCAGAATTATCCAGTGCCTCCATATTGGTTCTAGTTCTTGGACTTTTGTGATTGATATGAGGTCTGATGTATATAGAAGGCATGTGATCTTGTTGACTATTTCTTGTGGAAATGAGAGTAAAGAAACCATCTGAAGCTTGATATACGAACAATGTTTTAGATAAATCAAACTAGATTCATATATAGTTGTGTTTTTTTCGTAACTTCTGCGTGCGATGACCAGATATTGAAGAAAAATCGATTCCAGTGGTTTTTTTTAACTGGGAATTAGTAGTTCAATCGTATATATTATACATCGATATTTAATATTAGCTGTTGATACTATAAATATTTTATTAATAAAGATAAATTTAAATTTAAATTATATTATAAATAATATAATATCAAAAATTCATAATCATACGCATCCTACTGGCTATTTGAATTAATTAATATATATGATCAATCAAAACATTTAATATTAATATATCTACTAAATTAACGTCGAAAAACATGTTCTGGCATCATCTATAGCCTAAATAATCTAATGAATGACTTTAAAATATATGGTATCTAATAAGTTATGGAATTATTTAATCATTAAAACTTTTTTGATTACATAAGCCATAATTTAGTCTGATAAACCATAAAATTTAACCGTCAGAACTCGTCCTTGTTAGCTCAGTTGGTAGAGCGTTCGGCTTTTACAGTCAAACTAGGGAAAAACCATTTCTTAGCGGAAGTTAACCGAAATGTCGGGGGTTCGAGCCCCCCATGAGGAGTTCTATTTTTTTGCCAATTTTTTTTACCAATTTTGGGTTAAAAGGACTGAAATTGATCATATATACACTCTATGTTAGTTACTTGTTGCTCTGTTGTTGATATTCCGGCAAAAAAAGTTATGTTTTGGGGTATCCTACATTTTTTTTTCATTTTTTTTATATGTCATACCCCATTTAAATATATACAGAGAAAATAAATCATTATGAACAGAAT